CATCACCCCCCTTGGAAGCCCATTCCAAATTTTGGCCCCCCGTACTGGGACAAAGTTTTTCCTGATATCTAGCCTAAATCTGCTCTGTCAGTCTGTGACCATTGTTCCCTGTTACCCCAAGAGGCGCTCTGGTGAAGAGAGCATCCCTGATTCCTTGCTGCGCCCTCCTAATGAATCTGTAGGCAGCCACAAGATCACTTCTCAGGCTTCTCTTGTGGAGGCTGAAGAGGTCCAGGTACCTTAGTTTCTCCTCATAAGGCTTGGCCTGTAAGCCCTTAACCATATGAGTGGCCCTCCTCTGGACCCTCTCGAGATTATCCACATTCTTCTTAAAGTATGGCGCCCAAAACTTGACTCAGTACTCAACTGCGGTCTGACAAAGGTTCATGGGGGGGGAAAGTATCACCTCCTTGGTTTTATTTGTCATGCATCTGCTGATGCATGATAAAGTGTGGTTAGCTTTGCTGATGATTTCGTCACACTGACAACTCATGTTCATCTTGGAGTCCATTATGACTCCAAGATCCCTTTCCACTTCTGTGCTGCTCAGGGAGTTATTTCCTAGCCAGTAGGTATGCTTGTTACACACTTGCCCAGAAGGTTGGAGACATGGGTTCTAGGCCCTCTTCACCCTCACACCCACCTCATCCACTTCCCAGAACTGTGTCCTAACCCTCAGGCTAGAAAGTTCTGTAAGTGGGAGTATTCCCCACCCCACCTGCCCCCTTCAGTGAAGGTGAGCCAGCGGGCAGCTAAGAATGCAAGTCAGGCTCTAGAAGGGGAACAAGCAAGAAGGATCCTTATGACACAGGAATCCTGGGGTCCATTCTCAGCTCACTCAAGCGTTTTATTTAAAAACTGACTCATGCAAAATGCACAAGCAGTCTCAGGGGCCAAGGACCCGACTTGTTTGTAGTGTCACCTAACAGCATGTTGCAGAACGTGCTTGATTAGTTTCTCTCTATCCTATTTGTTTCTCTTCCCCTCCCTTTTTTATCTTTTATCTATTCTTATAGTAAATTTGTCTGCAAACACTACATCTGTCATATAAATTTTGAAATAAATCTTTTGTCCTTTCTAACAAGTACTGCTCACTGTCACCATGAATGCATTTGTTTATATTGTACCATTATTTCTTTACTTTGCCCCTCTCCTTTCCAATGCAGCCAGATATTTTTTTGTACAAATATATGTATACTTCTATATAGACAGGAATTCTTAAATTTATGCTGCATGAACTGCATCGTTGTTTCCAAATCAAATACTTACTGTTGTTGCCTGAGAATTATTAGGGTGTGCACTGAGAAGCTCCTGTGGTGGATTCAGAGGTTTGATGTATCTGGTAATAAAGACTGTTTTCCCATTGATGTCAATAACAGTTGTCAGGCACCGGCGACTTGGAAATTTCAGTGCACACTCAGCTTGATACTTTTCTGCTGCTCGGAGCAATTTCTCATCTTCCTGGGAATCAAACTTCAAAGGATATTACAAGATATATCAAAATACAGCTTTGCACAGAGCTTGGACTTAATTCTTCACTCCTTTGCACTTTATGTAGTGTATGTATAATTTTGGTCTGGTAGCATTTCAGCTTTCTCTAGGTGTGTATTTGCAAACGTTTTAAAGGTGCAGAAAAACAGGTCTTCTGCATTTCCTTCTGTGGACTCCACACACACACACACACACACACACACACACACACACACACACACACACACACACACACACACACACACACACACACACCACACACAGTATAGATTGCACAGTCTTTCCTCATGTATTGAAAATTAAGTGAAAATTTTGTTTGAATAAGGCAAGGATGGCTGTATAGTCATTCAGTTAGAGTGCAGACACCAAAAGGTACTGATTTTTTTATTATATTTGCACAATAACAACTGAATTAGAATACCAATCAGGCTAAATCTCTGTCTAAGATGCACAACTCTTGTTGGCTTTTATGGAAGTCACATGGCTAAAACCCTGTGCAATGTTAAAAAATGATATACAGATGGCCTTTTGACATACTTAGAAAAGTAAAAGTCACTACAAGGCAGGCCTGCATTAAGATTTTAGGTGGGGCTTCAAAAACAACACTGTGGGGACGTAAGAGCACACATCCAACTAAGAGACAATGGGACGCAATGCTATTTTATTTAGAACAGCTTTTAAAGACATTTTGAAATGCATGTCAAGTACATTTATATTAACTTTAAAAGGCCCCTCTACAATGCAAAGTGGTGCAAAACAGTCTGAGTGTTACTTAGAATTTGGGCCTACACTCAAAATACTGTATAACCTCTTCATTGTGTTTTCTTGGTGCCCAGGATAAGCAAAGCTGGGATTTCCATGCATTTCTCAGTAAGAACCTCTTCACCAACACAAAAGCTATACCTTACAGAGTTTCTTCTCAAATCAAAAACGGTGGGCAAGATATGGAATTTGTGTAGTGGTCCTTGTGGCACCAAATTTTCTTGCAAAATATCATTGATTAAACAACTGATCTAAAGAACCCATCTGTCAGTAAAGGAATTTGCATGCTACATCCAATATACAAATGATCAAGCACAGATGGAGGCTCACTGGGAAAAGCTGGTTAGCTGGACCAAAAACAAAATGACCCTAAATAGTAAAGAGCAGTACCTCTTGACTAATGTAAATATCAATATGCATATTGTACCTTCTTGAGCATTTCATTCATCTACACAGAGATTCACGAGGGACAGCCACAAAAAGAAAGATAAATAAAAGAGAAGAAAATGGCAGTAAAATTAAGAGAGGTAATTATTATACATTACTCTAAGAGGCTAAATATATGTCAAGTGTCTTCCTTACACAAAGAATAAATACAACAAAATATTCAGTGACTGTGTCCGATTTAACATGTTCTATAATAAAGAAGTTAAAAAAAAATCTGACAGGGATTGTCTACATCCCAAGTTACATATGAAGGCTGCACTTTTACGTAATCATTGCTGAGAAAGGAAAAAATGTGTAAGCACTAACCCACACAAACCTTGTACTAGAGCAATTTCCTTTCTTTTATAAAATGTAGGTTGATGTTTGGTAAATGAATGTTGTGCCCAATAGAGAGAGTTGCTGGTGACTCATACTCCTCGAGACTGAGGTCCTTCACTGATCCACAAAACAGGAAAAACGACAGTGTTTTCTAGTACATATGTTTCCCTTTACTACCACACTAAAAGGCCTCCACTGTGACTTGGAAAGATTTACAGTCTGCCTATACACATGCTGGTTCACATTCTAATTAAAATATGTCAGAATGACTCAATTAATCACTCGATTAATCAAGTTTGCTCCACGTTCTAATTGGAACACTCAAGCATGGCCTCATCATTACATATATAAGGACCCCACAAGTTTAAAAATGGCTGCTGGGGTGCTTTATCTAAACCTCATCAAATCAGGTTTAGATAAAGCATCCTGCAACCATTTTTAAACCTACAAGAGCTTAGTATATGTGATGGTGAGGCACTTTAATTAAAGTGGTTCTCCAGGAACTGCTCTAATTAAAACATCACTGACTTCTGAGCACATGTATAGGCACCCCCAGAGACTAGTTCAAGATTTGACCTATCTTTGCCCTCTGTGCTGAAATCAACAGCACAAACAGTTGATGCAGCTGTGAAATGCACGTATATATCCATGAAGAGCTAAGTTTCACTACTTTTATATAGGTAACCAAATAGCCATTCACTTGTAGTGACTTTTTTCAATGAAGATCTAAGCTGTATTTGGAACAATAACACACCATTGAAAGGTTACATGTATTGATCTAGTGCCCACTGAACGCAACAGACACTGGATCAAGCCTTACATTCTCTTTGAAATGTGCTGAGCCATCCAATTAGCTACACACAGGTTGCTTACAGATTAATTAAAAAAAACACCACAAAAGGTGTTTTACTTTAAACCCAGCGCACCCCAGCACTGAGCCCAGCACATGCATCACATTAGTTTGACCTGGCTCACCCAACATCTGTATAGATCGGGCACTTCAGTGGAGCTTTTTTAGGACTCCTATCTAATAGCTAATTGAATCAGTTTCAGATATATATGCCAAAAAGCCCCGCTGAAGCATGTGATCTATACAGATGCTGCAGAGCTGGGTCAAACAAATGTGCTGCTTCTTCCAGTAAAGCAGGCTTTGGGTTTTTTTTTTTTCCATGTCTGTCAGCAGCCACAGTTCTCGTCATTAAACATTTGAAAACTGTACAAGACGTTTTGTTTGTGAGGGGTCACATTCAACACAAAATACAATTACTTTTTTATTTTTGGGTCACGAGATTTAGAAGACAAGCACATGAAATCTTGTGAAGCTTGGCATGCTTTTCTGTATATACAACTAAAAAATAAAATGCACTTTGACTTAAATAGAACAATCTGCTATTTAATATATTCATTTTCTCTTACTCTCCCAATACTGCAGCTTATTGTTTTCTATGTATTTTCCCTTCAAATTTGGATCACTTGAAAGCTATACAGAATGCCTGATAAGGTAGTAATCTGGTTTGACTCAGTGAAGTAATAATCTGTTTTGCAAACTAACTGCAAATAAAAAGGCTTTTGTTCATTTGTCACCAGTTATAATTCTTAAACTGTCTTATATATAGTATAAGCTCAAATGCAGACTCAGTGAATGATAGCCCAAGCTAAAGTACAATGCAATAAATTACTGAACAATTCATCACAGCCTTTTTTTCACTCACTTTAATTCTTCAAACATTAATAGAAAACATATGCTAATAGCTTTCTTACCTCAGTAATATTTGCCTACTTCTGGTACTATTGAGAAATATACTATTATCAACAATTCAGCTTTTACAACTATTGTTCTGTAACATTTAGAAAAGGGCTCCTATGTTCTTTCTCTCATTCTCTATAGCATGATAAAGCTCTTTGCTGCATCTTCAGAAAGGACGATATTTCCATTCCCTTTCTAGCTCTTACATCTTAAGTCTGGCTAGGGACAGCTAGCTAGTATTATCATCTCTGAAATGAAAGAAAAATGTCAGTGAAATCTAAAAGAATTATTGAAAAGACAAACCTTTCTATTACTGTATTTTCTCACATACAACACATCCACAAAAAACACCCCTCCTCCTTGTTTTTGACAGGCAGAATGTACAAAAAAAAGATGTCTCCAGTTATGGGCAACTGTGTGACAAAAGTCCTCCTGGGAACACAGAATGGTCCCAGAAGTGTGGCATCAGGAACTTCCTGGTATGGCAAAACTGTCTCCTGGAATGCCACACTTCCTGGACACACTATGTTCCCAAGAGGACTTACTGTATGTCCCAAAAACTTAGGCCCCCAGACCCTTGCAAGACTGTTATTTCTTTACTGTAAGTAGTTCTTTGTATAAGTTCCTGTAAATAATGTGTCATTTCCACATCACAAGCCTCATCAAGATACTACTGGCAGCGCACTTACTGCTTCAGGAATGTGCTACAGTGCTCAGACAACAGCTACAGCAGGAGAAGGTCAACACAAGACTCTGGCCCTTCAGCTTGCTGAGTGGACACAAGATGCAGCTATCTTGGCAGAGGCACAGCATACACAGTCTCTCTAGGTTTGCTTCTTCTCCAGGAAAGAAAACAGCTTCCCAGCTTAAAATACGCACCCCAATTTTGAGGGACTGATTTTGGGGAAAAAGCGTGTATTGTATGTGAGAAAATATAATAATTAAAGTGTTTCATAGATTCATAGATGTAGGGTTGGAAGAGACCTTGTAGATCTTCTGGTCTGACCCCCTGCCATGGGCAGGAGAGAAAACTGGGCTCAAATGACCCCTGCTAGGTAAAACGTCAAGCCTCCTCTTAAAGACCCGCAAGGTAGGAGCCAGCAACACTTCCCTTGGAAGCTGGTTCCAGATCCTAGCCACCACGACTGTGAAGTAGTGCCTTCTAATGTCTAGTCTAAACCTACTCTCTAACAACTTACGACCGTTATTACTTGTTACTCCGGGAGGCGCTCAGGGGAACAAGGTCTCCCCCAATCCCCGCTGGTCCCCACTAGTAAGTTTATAGATGGCCACCAGGTCCCCCCTCAGCCTTCTCTTGCGAAGGCTGAACAGGTTCAGGTCCCGTAGCTTCTCTCTGTAGGATATGCCTTGCTACCCCCGATCATGTGAGTGGCCCTCCTCTGGACCCTCTCAACGTTGTCCACATCCCTCCTGAAGTGCGGCGCCCAGAACTGGACGCAGTACTCCAGCTGCAGCCTGACCAGTGTCGCATAGAGGAGGAGGATCACCTTTTTGTCTCCCTGAAGTCAATAATTGAGACTAAGACTATGCAAGTGGGCTGGTTTAAAAAAGAAGCTTCACGACTGTTCTGTAAGCTTTTGCAACTTAACGGCTTACTAATTTGCCACGGCAGTGGGCTAAGTTGCCTTGAATTTAAGACCATGGAAGAATCAAATTATATGTAATATTTTCCCCCCTCTTGTTCATGCCAGAAAGAAATAAGACAAGTGCTGAACAAATAACCTGAACTGATATTTTACAAGACTAATTCCTGAAGGCATTACACAAATTCTATTTCCAGAATTCCAAATTTGCTTGATTTTAATTTTGTATAATGCAGGGATATGATTCCTTCTCCCAAACTCTTCGTCTTCCAATAAATTGCCACTGCAGCTGTTGGGTCTGAAGCAAGAACAAAACTGCTGCTGCATGTGCTAAAGAAACACAAATACATCCCGACTGCCTCTCACCACTAAATTGCACAGTGCTACAAAAAGTGACAGGAGGTGCACTGGTTTACAAGTTGGCATGGTTTAAGCCTGGAACATTTTTTGTTGCTAGATCGTGTCCTTTAAAAAATGATCTATGAAGAAAAATAAAAGCTGCTATCTAGAAGCATTTATCTTCAAGCAGTTTATAGGGAGGCAGCGACTTGGACGAGGGGGTGAAAAGCACCCTGTTTAAATTTGCAGATGACACCAAGGGTTAGGGTGAGGTGGGCACATGCTAGAAGGGAAGGACAGATTACAGCAGGACCTGGACAGGTTACAGGGGTGGGCAAATGAAAATAGGATGGGATTCAATATATCATGTGCAGTATTTTTTTTAATTAATTTTGAGCTTTCTCTTATTTAAAGAAATTATGACCAGAATTTCAGAATTCTGAACCAGCACCATACCTATAGGCTGGGGAACTCCCTTCTCAAAAGCACAGTGGCAGAAAGAGATCTTGGAGTTGTTATTGACTCCAAGATGAGCATGGGCCGACTATGCAAGAACACGGTCAGTAGGGCTAACTGGACCTTGTCATGCATCCACAGATGCATCTCAAACAGGTCCAAGGGGGTGATCCTCCCCCTCTATGTGACACTGGTCAGGCTGCAGCTGGAGTACTGCGCCCAGTTCTGTGCGCCGCACATTCAGGAGGGATGTGGACAACGTTGAGAGGGTCCAGAGGAGGGCCACTCACATGATCGGGGGTAGCAAGGCATATCCTACAGGGAGAGGCTACGGGACCTGAACCTGTTCAGCCTTCTCAAGAGAAGGCTGAGGGGGGACCTGGTGGCCGTCTATAAACTTACTAGTGGGGACCAGCGGGGATTGGGGGAGACCTTGTTCCCCTGAGCGCCTCCCGGAGTAACAAGGCATAACGGCCATAAGTTCTTAGAGAATAGGTTTAGACTAGACATTAGAAGGCACTACTTCACAGTCGTGGTGGCTAGGATCTGGAACCAGCTTCCAAGGGAAGTGTTGCTGGCTCCTACCTTGCGGGTCTTTAAGAGGAGGCTTGACGTTTTACCTAGCGGGGGTCATTTGAGCCCAGTTTTCTCTCCTGCCCATGGCAGGGGGTCAGACCAGAAGATCTACAAGGTCTCTTCCAACCCTACATCTATGAATCTATGAAACACTTTAATTATTATATTTTCTCACATATAATAGGGAGGGAGAAAAATGGCAATAAATGCTATATCTGAATGGCATATTAAAATGTAGTGTTCCAATTTTAAACTAACTCTACATAAAAATTGATCTTACATGTTCAGGTTCAATTTTAGGAAAAAATGAAACAGTTTTTTTCCCCTGAATATAAGTTAATAACTACAGATAGATTTTGAATCACTATTGCCCTTACAAAATGCCATAGGAAAATCCAATATCCAAGGAAAGATCCCCAAGGGTTAATTGCACTAAAATCCTAAAATTAAAATGACTCTGAAAAAAATTATTATTTGTTATTTTTATGCACAAAAATATTTCAAATTCAAAATTAAAGACTGCTGGAGGTCCAACTATAGAATGACCCCACATGTACTGGGGATGAGTTTTGGGTTTTTTAGGGCCAAGTACAGACGGTCAAAAAGCCCGAGGCTGAATTGATTCAATCTTTGCAGGTTACTCTAAACTGCAGAGATCAAACCAGTAAGTGAACAGACATTTGCTTTTGATTCTGGTAATGCAGCCACATGCCTGCAGCAGCCTAGGCCAGAAGCCAGGGGGCACTAGAGTACACCTCCCTGCTCAGCTGAAACAGACACCTTGGGCCAAGGCTAGCCTGCCCACCCTGTGAGGGGTGGGTTTGCAGGGGAAATGAAAAGCATCCTGGGATGCTGGGGGACTAAGTTAATTTGCATCTGGAGGGAGTCTGGGACAGAAGTTCAATAAACCAATTTAACCTAAATCAGTTAAGTCTGACACCACATCCATCCAGGTGTATCTTAAACCAGTTTCAGCCATTTTGAAAGCAATCTATGTGTTTGTTACAAAGGTTTTCTGATCACTTATACAATTTTATGTGTAATTTCCATCCCTAGCCTAAGACAGAAAAGGGTAGACTTGCAACCAGTACAATACACTATTAATTAGCAAATACTACAAAAATGTTCAGAGTACATTTTTAATTAATTTGGTATGTACCTATTCTACATTCACTTTCCATAAATATCTGCGTGATAATAAGCAAGAATGCTCATATGAAACAAAAGTTATACAAACATGGAAAGTGAATCCAAACTTTGCTTTTCATGAGCAGTTAAACCAAAAAGCTGGTAAGTTATTCTCACGCAGCTGAGGTAAATCCTAGCAGTCTTTCCTGCCCAAGTGCAGGGGGGCTGGACTCGATGATCTGTAAGGTCCCTTCCAGCCCCTAAAAAACTATGAAAGCTTTCTAATTTATACCTTGATTCTGGCTCAGCAACAAAGTTCAAATTGTGACTAATAAGCCACAGACTTCAATACTTCTGCAAAATATATCTTTGAATATTACGAACAACAAGTACTCAGGTCTGCTAACACCGGACCTTTAAAAAGAACTTAATTCTACTAAAGATGAATCAGTCAGTAAGGATTTCAGCTCAGTTTGAAAACAAAAACTACTTTAGAATTACTTTTAGAACGAAAATATTCAAGCAAACTGTCAGGCACGCTAACAGGTCAGTTAGAATATTACTGAGTCAAGTCTAATTCAAGTGAAAAAAATATCATTACATGGTAGAAGTGAAAAAGGCAAAATCTGTATTCATGTTATATAAGAATGACTGCTTTAAATAACATCTGAAGGGAGTTACCTTGTCTCGAATTGGTTCTCCAGGAATAAGCTGTGGTTCAACAGTAACAAACAGTGTTATATAGGAACCCTCACTGAGGCTTCGGACGGAATCATAACCTCTTTCATTTCCTAGATTCTTTTCTTTAATGTAGCCAAGAAGGACTGGAGGAATGTCTATCTTAAATGTACCATCAATCTAGAACAGATAGACAGATATTAATGCAAACTCAGCCATTCGTTACCAAGAATAACAATTCCATCAAAGTCAAAAAAGCAACGGTTCCTGGGGTACATTTATTATTTGCTGTATTTGGGGATTTCATTTTGTTACTTCCCCCTCTCATTTTATTACTTTGGCAGCTTCTTTACTTACTTCTCCAGACAACAGAAACAGTCATGTCAGACTATATGACACTTAAATCATTTAATTATAGAAGAACTATGAACTGCTTTATACTTCAAATTAAATTTAATTAGTTAAAGCAGGGTTTTAATTTATTTGCTAGGAATGCAAACTAAGATTTAACATAAAATTTACAATACTAATTCTTTAAGAAATTATTTTCTTATATGTTACTAATAAATCAGTTCAACATAACACTGGACATATCTACACATTCATTAATGCGCCATAATAATGGTAGTAGTATCTGTAATGACAGGTACTAACTTAATGCGCTATAACTGGCACTACTGCACCTTAGCTCAAATTAATGTGATGTTAATGCCTCAGTAGACTAAATCTACTGCACATTAGCATGGGTTTTGCCCACCACACTAATGCACAGTAGAATTAATATATAGCGTTTGAATATACTAATTGGGACGCTCATGTTGATGCTCTGAATTAAGTATCATTTGTCATATCTTTACATTCACCAGAGAAGCAGATAATATAATATGATTAAATAGCAGATGCAGAATAAATATCCTTGGGAAAATAGTAACATTTAAACTTGTATGACCTGGATCTGACAGCTGAGTTTCTTGTTTTACAGTAGCTGCGGCTTTCTAAAATATTTTTTACATGAGCCCCATTTGCACAAATCCAATTTTCATGCATTCCTGGAGTCCTGCATGTTCTCTTATCCTATATCCAACTGAATAAAAGCATGAAGTTGGCCCAATCACTTTTCCTAGTTTCAAACCTAAAGGACTCTGCAATATCTGGGAAGGAGGATGGGTCATGGAATTCACATGAACAAAGTGTCTCATTTACCTCCTCAGGAAGAGGGAGCCAGAAATCCCAAATGAACCAAAATGGCAGAACAGTTCTGACAAATTAGGCATTGGTTATACTAACCTCAACCAGAGAGAACTGCTGGGTAAATGGGGGCCCTGAGCTACATGCAACTGATACAGAATATCCCTTAAGTATGCAGAGGTGGGGACTAGAGCTGTGGTTATATATACTCTAATATGAGATGCTGGAATGTATTTAGTAAATCTTTATGGATTTAGATACCCATTTCAAGAGTCTCTGTTATCCTCTGGAAATCAGTATAACTGTTACATCTACTTATACCCAAAAGTCTATTAGACTACAAGTCTCTTCCAACCCATTCACTATGAATGTTTTAAAATTCTTATTCCACTTCACCAGTGCATACCCTTGCTTGAAAATATACGGTAGTAAATGGAATCCTAACAGATCCCAGCCAGTGTCTCTCAACACGAGTATGGATTCCACTTTCTCTTTCACGGTCATCCTATAGGAAAGTTACAAGAAATAGATATTAGGTTAATAACCCTGTGAGGCACCATTACACACAGACCATTTTTTAAAACTTAACCAATGGTTTAATCAAGTTAGCAAAATAACTAAAATAATGAACTACTAAAAGAAGACAATCTCTGCTACAAAGAGTGTCTATTAAATGGTCCCAAAGCTCTGTATGGCAGGACTCTCATGCATGTTGGGAGTTCCATTTTTCTTGGGGAAAAGGGTGGGATTCAGTTACTTAGTCTGCTTAGTACTCTGGGGATTTAAGAATAGCATGGATATCTCCCTTGGCCTATCTGAATTCCCCTCATGCTTATGGGGGAGTTAGCTGCTGAAGTGAGTGAACACAGAGTTGCTTCTGAGTGCGCATATGTATCCAAGTATGAATGCCAAAGAACTGGTGAAGACCTAATTGAGAAGTGTACTGGATTTAGATAATTTTTTTGGTTACTGATGCAAGGGAAATTTGAATTGATCCTTAGGCCTCTACTCCTGCCTAAGCTCAAGGCATGGGCCAACTGCAAGGACGTTAAAGGGAAATGGAAAAGTGCACAGGAGAATGGTGAAGATATTGCTTAAAACTCAGGTCATAGACTTAATTTATGCATCTATGTTGTTCATTCCTCTTTAGCCTATTTCTCTTATGTGCATGGAAAACATGAGCCATAATATTTTCTAATGTTCATATGGCCTCATATAGAAATTTGTTTTCTAGTGGGAGAATCACTGCTCTACCAGTAGTAATCATGAGTGCACACATTTTCAGAATTTTTTCCTAGAGCAAAAATGGCTGCTCCATAAGAAAAAACGACTTGGGAACAACCAAGTTTATATTGTTTCCAGGCGAGTTTGTTCTGGGAAAGCAAAATGTCTGTACACTTTCCTTTCTGAGAGAAGCTGTAGCACAGTCTAGCATCCCAGGGTGATTTGCTCCCACCCCTTTTCTTTCAAAGGTGTTTGTTTAAGTTTTGCACTTCTGGTGGCTATTTAAAATAAGAAAAATATGTCAGAAGACCACTGGTTACTGGCTCATTTCCATGCATAATGTTGTTTTATTAAATGTGGTGCCTTT